TATATATGTTATTGTATTTTCGAAAATTACCGCTAATTTCCTAAACCATTGATATTCTATAAAATTTTTCGTTAAACAGTTTAAGTTTAAGTCGCAGATTTATGTTTTTTAAGTTATCATTAAAATCTAGTATGGAAATTTTTTTATATTCAACTCTAGTAAGAAGTAATGACAATTTTTTTTCTATTTATTTCAGGCATGCAAAAGTAATGAATTATGTTTGTGTACAATCTACAATGCAAGTGTGCAATTGTGCATGTGCGCCCTTGACTGTTGAGCGTTATGTATATATATATATATATATATATATATATATATATTACTCAATGCTACACTTGTGTGCGTTGTGCGTTGCCGTTACGGCAACTTGCTATATGTATGGACCTTTGCACGCAAATGCGATGAGAGCGAGGAATAAGGGAATAAGAGCAAGAAATTATAACGGGAATACGAGTACCTAACAGGCATAACAACGAAAATAAGAGTAATAAGCGGAATAACGTATTGAAGTACGTAACCCCATCGGTTACGTTTTTTTTTTAGTTGGTCGGTCAGTCCGATTCCTCTAGAATGTATATTTATATATAACATTGTGAATAATAGTTTAAGCAATGATGCGTAATTATGAGGCTCTTTTCCAGTCAAGCTTGAATCAGATGGCGCCAGGGCACGTCGCGGCTGTCATGGCCGTCGCACTTACACACCGTCAAATTTACAGTTGTGTATTGTGTTCGTGAGCCTATCTGTGTAATGAGCAAAGCAGAAGACATAACCTTTGTAAATGATTGCTGTTGTTTGCAGACAATTTTTGTTTGCATTTACGTTTAAAGATAGTAGGAAAAATGAAGTGCAGTGTAATATCCTGCGATAAGAAAGTGAAATTTAAATTTCCTTCTGATAGTGTGATAAAAAAAAAGTGGCTCGAAGCAATTGGGAGACCAACATTTTTGCCGCTCCCAAGTCATGGCTTATGCCTCGACCACTTTGCCTCCACGAGTTCTGCTTTTCTTCCACTGACTCTTGCTCCTTTCCCTTTTAAAAGCTTTTTCAATTCTGAAACTTTTAAGCTCCCATAATATTCTTTCTTGTCTTCCTTATTCATTTCAAAATTTCAAATATTGCGCTTTACCACTACACTTTACTTTCCTATGTACATACAATACTGAAAAGTAATGTTGTGTGAGTGAGACGGCCATGACAGCCGC